AAAGACGCTCTTTCTCTTCTAGACAAGGTCCAAAAACTAACTGTAAATGTAGTTGAACCCGCTCTCTCTGCTAAGCTTGAGCTTTTTTTTCATTGTCATAAAACTGCATCTCTTTCCCTTTTCTAAATATCTTTTCTAATCATGGTCACTGATCAATGGAGCTATCATGTCTTGTTCCATCAATTAAAACTCATTATCGCTTGACTCATCATTTAGCAAACTCTCATTCTTTTACTGTATCTGTACCTGCATGCACTAAAAACTTTTATAAGTCTAGTTTTTTTTCCATGCACTTCAACCCTTTGGAACTCTCTCCCATCTTCATGTTTTCCTGACTCATGCAACCTACTACTTTTTAAGTCTTCTGTCAACTGTTTTCTAGCTCTATAACTCTATTATATTTTTCTAGTAACTCTCAACTTAATAGTGGTTGCTCGAATCTGAATGGAAGAGTTTTACAAGTGAGGTACCACAAGGTTCAGTTTTTGCACCACTACTATTTGTTCGCTTCGTACATTAATGATCTCCCTGATAATACCACTCACCACATCAAAATATATACGCTGATGATTGTAAAATTAAAAGATTTATCAAATTGAGCAAAAATGGTGTTTTCTTGCAAAATAACATCAACAAAGCAGTAGACTGGTTTGAAAAATATATCATTTAATTCTGATTAAAAAAAGACATTTAAGTTTATTAAAATTAAAGTTAATGCTTATTTTATAACTTATTTATAACTTAATTGCCAAACTCATTTAAAAATATTACTAAACATTGTTTAAAATTCAAATTTTATTTATTCTTAAAAAATTTTTTTTATGGAAATTGCTTTTTATGGTTTTCCTTCCTAAACATTTTTTTTTTACTCAAAACTAAATTTTAAATAAACATGTTCCAAGGCTGCATCAAAAATTTGCACAAAACGTAGGTTAAACTTTTTCTTATAATGCAAATTAAAGTGCAGCAATTATTTTATAACAAATAATATATACAGTGATATAATTTTAATAAATGGTGTTTAGAAAATTAATCTTTGCTTTCAAAACAAAATCGCTAATAAAATAATAAACTTTTAATAAATAAAGTAAATTAACTTAACTTTTTTATTTGTTACTCTCTAATTTTTTTTTTAAATCATTTTTAGTTGCAAAGCCGCAATTAAAAATGTAATTTAAAAAAATTTAACATATTTAAATTCTTTATACAAATGTCGAGAAAGAAAAAAATTTATTTATAACAAACATTTTTTTAAATCTAATATTAAATTTAATTACTTCATATAAAAAAAACTTGATATATAAAATAAAAAACATATATAACAAAATAACATAATAAAAAACAAGTTAAATAATATTTAACTTGTTTTGCGGTAATTAAGATTATTGTAGTATTTTAAAAAATTTATGTCTTTGAAAAATATAAAAATAAACAGAATTTTATGACGTCAAATTCACATTAAGCTAATGCGTTAAGCATTTTTTATTCAAAACAAGGCCTATATATATATATATATATATATATATATATATATATATATATATATATATATATATATATATATATATATATATATATATATATATATATATATATATATATATATATATATATATATATGTATATATATATATATATATATATATATATATATATATATATATATATATATATATATATATATATATATATATATATATATATATATATATACTTTTAAACTTCTGTTTGCAGTATAGAGAAAATTATTCTTTCTGTGATTCTCTGAGTGCTTGTTGCTTGGAAACTGCAGATTTTAAGTATATTTTAGATAAATTTTTTTAACAGGAACCTCAATAAGGTTTTATACAAAAACAGTTTAATTTTTTTAAGATGCAGGATTTTTTAAATGAATGTTTAGACATTTTTAATTTTAATGATTATAAACTTTTTCATGATAATTTTGTAAACAACTGTTTATAATTAATGATTACAAACTTTTTCATGATAATTTTGTAAACAACTGTTTACAAATAATGATTACAAACTTTTTCATGATTATTTGTAAACAACTGTTTACAACTAATGATTACAAACTTTTTCATGATAATTATGTAAACAATTGTTTACAATTAATGATTACAAACTTTTTCATGATAATTTTGTAAACAATTGTTTACAATTAATGATTACAAACTTTTTCATGATAATTTTGTTAACAATTGTTTACAATTAATGATTACAAACTTTTTCATGATAATTTTGTAAACAATTGTTTACAATTAATTTGTTAACTGGGTAGAATAGAACAAATTATTTTTGTTTCAAAAGTACTAAAAAACACATTAATTGAATTAGTACTGTGAGAGTCATATGTTTCTTGAGATGTATCCAGTGAGATATATATCCTGTTAAAGAATATGGGTGATATTCAGCAAGAAAGTAAAAAAGTATTTTGTTGAATTTTTTTAACCATAACTAATTTTATTTACCAATATTTATTTATCTAGTGCAAATATCAATATTTACCAATCTTTATTTGCTTTCTGCAGTTTCCCCTCCTCTTTTTTTGCTTCAAATGAAACACTAAAGTGCGATCGAGAAATCTAAATGTTATACAAATACATATCTAAATTTTATAACTACAAATGTTTTCCTAATCTTAAATCTAAATACGGAAAAAAGTAACAATTTAAAAAACCAAATTACAATATTTAAAAATAATAACAAATAATTAGAAACTAAATTTCCACAAATAATTCCATTTAGAGAGTTTTTGCTTAAATTCAATTTAATTTGCACACAAATTTAAGAAAAAATCTTACTTGGTTCACTGACTGTTCTAACTTTTCAGATAAATCCATTACTTGATTTGTTATGTAATCAACATTCTAACATAAAAATCAACATACTAATCATTTTTTCCTAAAAAATTTCACCCAAATCTATTTAATACCCCTCCTCCTCCTCTCTCGCTCTCTGTACCCAAGTTCACTCTTAAAAAGTAAAGAAGTAAATATCAAATGCTTTTATGAGATATGATTTTTAACATAAATACCTTTGAATATATAGTAAAAAAATAATAATGGTTAATAATAATATTTTTAGTTGATCACAAACATTTAATCTATTTTTATTCAAATTTGATTATCTAAAAAATTTTGTCTAAAAAAGCTATCACGATATGTTTTAGTAAAAAATAGTAGTACTGTATATCTTATATTATTTTCAAAATATTGAATCAAAAGATTACCAAAAATTATATATATATATATATATATATATATATATATATATATATATATATATATATATATATATATATATATATATATATATATATATATATATATATATATATATATATATATATATGTATATATATATATATATATATACTTTATGTAATTAAATGAATAAAAACAACTAAATAGCAGGACTTAAATTTTCATGTCCGAAAGCAATTATCAGCCATGAATACAAACAAAAAATGTCAAAAAACCGTTTTTTGAAAAACTTTTTTTCAAAGAAATTTTTGCTCTCTTTATTTGACACAAAAGACAAGTAAACTATAATGGCTTCTTGTTTTGTTTATACTCAGATTTATTTATCACGTCTGAATCCGTTCTAAGGTAATTAATTTTAATTTGAAGTTTTTTAAAAAACGGTTTTTTGACGTTTTTTGTTTGTATTCACGGCTGATGATTGCTTTCGGGCATGAAACTTTAAGTCCCGCTATTTAGTTGTTTTTATTCATTTAATTACATAAAGTATAAATATCAATTTAAGCAAATTTGTGATTCACATAATTTAAGGATGAGGGGTGTTATAATTCATAATATCCAAACTTAATAATTAGAATAACAAAGTCACAGTTAGCAGTAATTTTTGTAATTATATATATACATATATATATATGTATATATATATATATATATATATATATATATATATATATATATATATATATATATATATATATATATATATACATGATAAAGAAAATGCCTAAAACAATAAAAAGTTTAAGAACTCGTAATCAAAACAAGAGATATTCTGTTTGCCATCTGAGCTTCCAATTAGTGATCCAACTTATAGTTAAGTAGTTCAATACTCCTACTTATAGGCAAAAGGTTAAATATTCCTACTTTATTTTAAAAAATATAAACAGTATCAGAAATATTAATTCTCCAAAGATTGTTTCAAAAGTTGCCAGTGACCGTATCGATGCTTAGTGACCGTATCGATGCTTAGTGACCGTATCGATCTGTGGAGTAGAGTAAATCCTAAGCTGCCTCTGATACACGAGAAGTCAGTATCCAAAAAATGTTTTAGACTTTTCATCAAAGTATTGTCTGCAGAAGGGAAATTCAAAAATGCAAACAAAAACAAGGAGTATTTTGATTGTATTTTGAGCGTTTATTTGATTTGTCGCCATGTAATTGTGGACTTCCAGTAGTAGCTTGCAATGATAGGTAAGATAGACCTATTTTTATTTTATTACATTTTAAAATAATTATAAAATAAAATCAATATTTTAAAATAATTTTAGGATTTGCAGTAATACTTTTCATTAAAAATTTATTTTGCGGATAAATGAATTATGTTATAAACATTTTTATAGATCTGTGAAGTGTAGGAACCCACCAGATTGCAAGACAAGACATTTTGCTTGTCTCTGAGAAGTTAACAAAAAGGTAAATAATTTAAAATTATTAAAGTTAATTTAATTTAAATCTATAGTTTGTTAAATATCGAGTAGTCAGAATCAAAAGTATGTTAGAAAAAAAAACATAATTACTTTTCTTTGACTTTGACAACAAATCATTTTGTTATATTATATAACATTATTAAGAAACACATCATTGTAATATAACACAATAATATATCATATATGTATATATTTTTTTACTAGACTTTTACATGTCTTCGTAATATATAATATATTTATTTTTAATTGACTTGGTGTACAGTAATTGTAAAAGTACAGTTAAACATGTAAATTTTCTTTCCTTAAACATATATTATAACTTTTATGTTTTGCAATTAAAAAAAGTTTTGAATTTTTTAGGTACCATTATTAGATAAAGAATATTTGAAAGATCAAAAATTGAAAATTGAAACTATTGGAAGATTTCAAATTGATATGATTGATAAAAAAGCAGTTACCAAAGAAAAAAAAAGCAAGACCATGAAATTAATGAGCAAATAAGATCTTTTAACTCACTTGCTCCAGAAATTCAATGTGATCATTATATGGATAGTGATTTAGATAATAAAAATGACTCGGAAACAGATCCTGACTTTTCCATAACTGCACCAGCTGAAAGAAATCAAACTTATTTAACAAACTTTGCAAAAGCCGCTATTAGGTTTGAAATAAGCAATGTTGCAACAGCTGCATTGGCAACAGCTGTATTGACTATGGAATTGTTAAAGAAAGTATTAAAGCACAAATAATAACAGAAAAAAAAATTTGGAGGGAAAAAAAAGAATCATAAGCTCTAAACATTTAGCTGATATTAAAGAAATAGAGGTTATTGGATTTGATGGAAAAAAAGACAAGTCTACATTGACACGTTCTATCAGGTATAACATTAATGGAGATCCAATCATTGTTGCTGCAATCAAAGAAGAATACCATCTAACATTTACAGCAGAGAGTGGACCCACATCACAAAGTTATTTGACTCATGCAGTTATACCTAATGGAATTGGTGCAACCATGGCAAATGCTATTGCTAATGTTTTATTAGAATATAACAGTGTTCAGAGTTTAATAGTGATTATTTTAGAAAATACAAGTTCAAATACAGGTTACGATAGGGGTTTTGTTGTCAAACTTGAAAAAATTATAAACAAAAACTTACACCTTTTAGGATGTTTGCTGCATCAGAATGAACTGCCACTGCAACACATCATATCAGAACTAGATAGAAAAACAATTATTCCTAATTCTAAGGGGTCAATCACGGAAGCTGCATCTAATCTAACTCTTTATGAGCAGCCATTGTTTCAATTTGTATCAATAAAGTCAGAGATAGAATTGTTTGTTAACAGAGAGATTATAAGCGATCTTAGTACAGACCAGCGCAAACTCTATAAGTATTGCGTTGGTATTTCATAAGGTTTTATTTCTGAAAAGTTTGTTTTAAAAAAACATGGATTAGTTTGCCATGCTAGATGGCTAACTTTAGCACTCAGAATTATGATGTTATATGTTAGGACTAAGGAGTTATCTCTTGAGCTATTAGCAGTAACTAAGTATATTGTTTAAGTTTACTGCGTAATGTGGTTTGCTATCAAGCACTTTGAACAATACAAAAACGCTTGTCGTCACCTATATAAAAATATTCAGTTGGTCAAGCTTCAAGAGAGCAGGAGTCAAAGTATTGTTTTTTTTTCTGATTGATTTTTTTAACAACTCTCAATCTGTTGAGAGAGCCATAAAACTAACCTTCGAAGCTGCTAAGCAGGCTTATGGTCAAGAAAAGAGGCACAAATTCATTTCTGCAAAGAATCAAAGTCGAAAAGAGAATAAGTGAAATGAAAAAAAATATGATTATTTTATAAATGAATATCTAATTTTGTAATTTTCTGTGCAATTTAATTAAAAACAGTTTACTATGAAAAATGCAAAAGAAAAACTATTCTGATTAAGTTTCCAATTGTTTAGGGTTGATAAATTAATATTCCTTAAAAAAAAAAAAAACTAAGAAAGATATAAACAAGACTGTAAAAAACGTCAAAATGGCTAAAAATTCAATTAAAGGGAAATATTTAAACCAATTTCCCAAACTAAATATATAAATTAAACAAAGTTAAATTTTTTTTTTTTTTGTTATTTATATTGCAATGAACAAATTCCAGGGTGATTCTTTGTAGTTTTCCAAAAAAACACCTTCTAGGCAGTGGCTTAATGAGACAAAATAGCTAAAAATCAATTCATTAAACTGGCACATATTTCCTGGTTATATTAGATTTAAAAATATTATGTCACTGGTTTTCTTGTTGTGAATAACAGTGCAGAACATATAAGTTGTAATTTCAGACTGCTGGGACCTACCCAGATCCCCATCAACCCAGGTCTATAAACTTTTTTAATACATATATCAAAAAGAACCAGAAAAATTATGGTATTTTTTTTATTGACTTTTTTTTATAAGGCCTTGTGATGAATAAAAACTACGTGACGCATAAGCACGATGTGATTTTTGAAGTCATTAAATTCTTTTTATTTGCTTTTCATATTTATCGACATTAACTGCACCAATTTACTTAATTACCGCAAAACTACTTTAAATCATTAATGTAGAAATGTTATTATTTAAAAATGTTTTGGAATGTTTCGTTTTTTAAAATAAAAATTTTAAAAACATTTGTTTATGTTCTCGACTACTGACACGTTTTGTCTATACTAAACGAACAAAAACATTATAACTAAACATTTAAAAAAGATTATAAAATATGCTAATATTTGATTTTTTTTTTCTCAAACATGTAATTTAAAGTTTTTCAAATATTTATTTTTTCTTTTTATAAAGACAGCAAGTAATAAACTGTAAATTTTAATTTTGTACGATTAAAAATTGAGCAACAGCTAATATTTTTACTAGCGATTTTATATAATAATTTGTTATTTATTTATTTTTATTTATTTTCATAAAGCGGTTGATAAGCACAATCACTCGTATTACTAAAAAAGTTTAACGAACGTTTTGAATAGATTTTTAATGTTTACAAGGAATTTTATTTTTGATAAAATAAAATAAAACAAAATGTTAGCATGTCTTATATGTATATAAGACATATTTCAGTGAAAAATTTATTCTTAAAAATTATTCTTAAAAATTATTCGAAAAACATTCTATTTTTCAGCAGCTGTTCTTGAGCACGCTTCGTTGAGTTTCGGTAACTTTAAACAAAAAAACAATTGTTATTATTTAAGTAATTTTTTTCGAGTTACAAAAATTTTAATAGCTGTACTTTTTTATTGAATCAAGTAGAATCCTTGAGGTCATGATTGCGTCACAAAACGAGTTACCATCTTTGTAGGGGGAAAACATTAAACAAAACGCATAATTAGCCCATTTTGTTCATTGTTTTAATTTTAAAGCCGGGTTAAGGCATTAAACAAAACGCGCTAATAACGCATTTAGTTCAATGTTTTCCCCCTACAAAGATGGTAACTTGTTTTGTGATGTGATCGCGACCTCAAGGATACGTTTTAATATTAATCCTTTTATTTTTATTTTATTTGCGCTTACCAATTTTTAAAAAGTTTACGCAAAATTATTCTTAAATACTTTAAATACGTCTAACAGTTAATAAATATTTTTAAATCTATGGAATAATTTTTAAACCTACCAAAAACCCGTAAAATAATTATTTAAGTTAAAAATCTAAAACTAAAAGAAAGTATTTTTGTTCAATTTTATTGACAACTTTGCTATTGCTGAATAATTTTATTAAAATGTTAGCTTAAAAAGATTTAAACTTTTTTTTTAATCTGAATTTTTTCTACTTGTAAATAATGAGCATATTTAACTTTTTTGTAATTCAAACTTTTATATCAACTGCGTGCGGTGTTTAAAATACTTTATTAAATGTTAAAATAATCGAAAATTACTTCATTAAAATTCCGCTCAAAAATATCTTTAAATATACTCAAACAAAAATTTTTTTGCTCGACGCAAATAGCCCTAGTTACACGCAAAATCGCTCATGGACGACGTAAAATTCACATCGCCTGATGCTTTATCCCAAGGCCTGATATATATATATATATATATATATATATATATATATATATATATATATATATATATATATATATATATATATATATATATATATATATATATATGTATGTATGTATGTATGTATGAATGTATATATATATATATATATATATACTAGGTTGGTTGAAAAGTTCGCGGAGCGGAAATGAAAAAACAATTTTATGATTCAAAAAATGACTTTATTCTTCAGTATATTCTCCCTTAAGAGCAATACACTTTTTCCAACGATTCTCCAATTCATGTATCCCATCTCTGAAGTGCGATTCCGGAAGGCCTTCAAAATACCCATTTACGGCTGCAATGACTTCTTCATGTGATGAGAAACGCTTTCCACGTAGAAATTTTTTGAGATGTGGAAAGAGGTGGAAGTCGGATGGAGCCAGATCTGGTGAATAGGGTGGATGTTCCAAGCGTTCGTACTTTAATTCGACCAATTTCGCCTTTGCAACATCGCTGATATGAGCAGGTGCGTTGTCCTGGTGATAAATGATTTTTTTATGCAGCAAACCAGGTCTTTTCTCACGAATTTTTTTATCCAACTGGTCCAAAAGATTTTTATAATATTCACCTGTTATCGTTTTACCGGTTTGAAGGTAATCTATTAATAAAATTCCTTTCGCATCCCAAAAAACTGATGCCATAACCTTCTTTGACGATTTTGACACCTTCACTTGCTTCGGAGCTGAACAACCGGGTTCTGTCCACTCTGCAGTTTGTTGTCGCAGCTTCGGATCATAGTGGTAAACCCAAGTCTCATCCATGGTTACGAATCGACGCACAAAATCTGTTTTATTCTTTTGAAAACGGGCCAAATGTTCTTGAGAAAGTTTTACTCGAGTGCGTTTCTGATCCAGAGTTAGCGAATGCGGCACCCATCTTGCCAACAGCTTTCTCAGACGTAATTCATCGTGCAAGATGTGTAATACCCGTTCATCTGAGATGCCCACAGCCTCAGCAATTTCACGTTTGGTCAATCGTCTATCATCCATAACCATGTCATGCACAGCATTAATCGTTTCTTCAGTAGTAGCACTTTTTGGACGTCCAGAGCGAGGGTCATCTTCAAGGCTTGAACGCCCACGTTGAAACTCCGCAGCCCATTTGCATACTGTTGTTTTTGAAGGAGCATCATCACCCAACACATTTACCATTTCATTATGAATTTCCATGGGCTTTAATTCTTTTTTCACAAAGAATTTTATTACAGCACGATGTTCAATATTTTCCATTTTAAAAAATACTATGACACGTCTAATTTTAATAGCTTGTAAACAAAGACTGAAATGACATATCGACTTGAAATTTTTTATGCGTTCATACGAAGAATGAATACGTTTAATACAGTTATAAATTTGTTTCTACTACTGCAACATAGGTGCCGCTCCGCGAACTTTTCAACCAACCTAGTATATATATATATATATATATATATATATATATATATATATGTATGTATGTATGTATGTATGTATGTATGTATGTATGTATGTATGTATGTATGTATATATATATATATATATATATATATATATGTATATATAAATACATATATATATATATATATATATATATATAGTCTTGCATGTCTCTTGCGTAGCATCAAAAAATATTTCCCATAAACTGTAGTTTTAAAGAGCGCGTTAATAAACCAGACCAGAAAAAGTTTTAAATATTAAATTTTTTTTTTTAATTGATAGACTGCCTGGCCAAACCAAACCCTCAGTCGATGTAGCAGCACTCTCTTGCGAGTCAGGCTATTTGTCAGTCGTTGTAGCAGCACTCCCTTGCGAGTCAGGCTATTTGTCAGTCGATGTAGCAGCATTCCCTTGCGAGTCAGGCTATTTGTCAGTCGATGTAGCAGCACTCCGTTGCGAGTCAGGCTATTTGTCAGTCGATGTAGCAGCACTCCGTTGCGAGTCAGGCTATTTGTCAGTCGATGTAGCAGCACTCCGTTGCGAGTCAGGCTATAAGATAGTCGATGTAGCAACATTTACGCATGTTTAAAAAATATTTTTTATTAAATCAATAACAAAAACACCACTAATTAAAAAAAACTTTCTAGTCGTTATAATTGCGGTTTTTTAAAAATTTTTTAAAAAACAATTAAATTTAATGTACTTCCGCATAAATTAATTGCTTTGACATTTCGATGACAATCAAAAACAGCTTAAGAGACGAGGTAATTAAAATTGTAGTCGTAAGAGACTTTTTTTACATTAAAATGCTCTTAAAGCGACACTATATGAGTATATATATATATATATATATATATGTATATATATATATATATGTATATATATATATATATGTATATATATATATATATATATATATATATATATGTATATATATATATATGTATATATGTATATATATATATATATATATATATATATATATATATATATATATATATATATATATATATATATATATATATATATATATATATATATATATATATAACCCTCGGAATTAGGAAAATTATATATACAACCCTAGGAATTAGGAAAGTGTTTGAGGTCGGCAATTTTTGCCAACCTCAAACTCCTTCAGGTCGGGAGTTAGGTCGGCATTGCTGAAAGCCGACCCGAATTAACCCTAATTCTGAGGGTTGTATATATATGTATATATATATATATATATATATATATATATATATATATATATATATATATATATATAAATATAAATTTTTTAAAAAACATATCATTTAAAAAACATAACATACAGTCAGTAATGATGAAGAAGCAAGTGTGTTGACCCAATATTTGTTCCATAATGAGTCTAATAGTTTTTGATCTAAAGAACTTTTGAAATATGACATCTCCAATGAATAGTATCTAAACATAAAGGGTATGACAATCCAATAGTCTTAAACATAAAGGGTAGGAAAAAAATCAAAAAGTTCAGCTTAAGGTTCCTTCCCAAATTGGTTAAAGTTTGTTGAGATTTAGTATTTTTTTAAATTTTTGCAGGATTAATTTTTTTTTATATAGAATAGGTTGCAGTGTTTTAAAATGAATCCAGAGTATTAAAACTAAAAAACCAATCCATAATTACTGATTTTAGACAATTTTTAATATCAATAAATTTGGTAATTTTCTTTAAATTTCAAAGTGAGCAATAATATTAAATACATATAACAATTGCTTCAATATAAAAAGAAACTTCAAAATAGACTACTTAATATTTCATCACATGAAAAACATTAATGAAACAAATTTACAGACACTTTAAATATATAGCAATTGTTTGTTAAAAATCATATGACTTGAAACAAACATTAGACATCTTATTCAAAGATCTTTAACAACAAAGACATTTTATTCAAAGATCTTTAAGACAATTTATTCTTTATCTTATTCACCTTATAAATCAGTTTTGGTTCTTTGAAGCAACTTTATGAATAAAAAAAAAAATTAAATACTTTAGTCATAGCAAATTGACATTCTAAACTTCTAATCATTTTTTAAAAATATTTAATTTAATTTTTTTGTTATTAACTATTTGTTAATAACAAAAAAATTATTATTAACTGTTACTTAACTAGTTAACACAAAGATGCTAATAAACCACTATATTTGTCTAAAAAAGTACTATAGTACTATATAACCAAAACTTTACAATATTAAATACAAAAAAACATAGCTATAACATGGTAGTTACTATTTTAAATGAAAAAATCAATACACAGGTGGACAACTTTAAAACATAAAGACATCATGAAACGGAATATTTAATAAAAACTATAAAAATTTTTAAATATAAACTATGTTAAATAATATAATATAAATAAATATTGAACAAGTAAAAACATCTTTGAAAAATAGAAAAAAAACTGCAATTACTAAATGCAAAAGAACATATCTAATAGAAGACAAAAGAACATATCTAATAGAAGACATAAAAAAACCACTCTAGCTTGAATCACTATTTTGAATCAAGTAATATTTAGAAAAATATCATTTTTAAAGCACTTAATAATAACAAGAGAAATAAAAAGTTATAAAATTTGAAAAACTTAAGTTCTCGAATGAAATAATTTCTATCAGAACAACTCTTGATCATTTCATCAATTTGGTATGTTAAGTTATATAATACTTATTTATTTCATTTAATAATACTTATTATTTATTAGTTATTACTATCTAAACAAATTGTTTAACTATTTTGTAGCTCAAACTTCTAATTCAAACGCCAATTGTAACTTAGTTAAAAAAAGTATGTACATTAACAAATTAATCATAATTAATTAGAAGCACATTTTATTTTAAAAGCACTTCTAAATAAAACGTTATTTTAAATTGCTTCATCATTTTCAAAAACACTCAGATTACCCACTACAATTTTTAATCGCAAATGCCCGAGTAATTTAAGTTCTTTGTTTCATATCTTTAATGACAAATTTAACACACATAACGTATTTAATGATAGAACAAAAAAAAAAAAGAGATCTATACTTACTCTTTACAGTGTACACCAAAATCTTCTATCTTACTAAGAGGTATTGTCTGATATTCAGAGGGGCCTTCATCTGGAGGTTTGAAACCCTAAATGAAAAAACTATACAACTTAAAAATAATTGTGACAGAAATTATTCAAAACAAAAATAAAATAGTACGATATAAACCTAATAAAATAGAAAGATAAAAAACTGATATATGAAAAAGAAGCACCTTTGGATATGTTCGAAAAGCACCAATGTTAACTTTTCCTGCTGAAATTGTTCTAGTTGGATCTATCTAAAATCAAATCTGAATAATCAAAAATAATGCATAAAATAAATAAACATTTATCTATAACAAATGTTTTAAAAAGTATATGTACTTGTAGATAAAAAGTAGTTGAAAAAAAAGGGATAATTATGTTATGAATGTGTGTTATGTGTAAGACAAAAAAAAATATATATATATATGTATATATATATATATATATATATATATATATATATATATATATATATATATATATATATATATATATATATATATATATATATATATATATATATATATATATATATATATATATATATATATATATATATATATATATATATATATAAATACATATATATATATATATATATATATATATATATATATATATATATATATATATATATATATATATATAAAATATATATATATATATATATATATATATATATATATATATATATATATATATATATATATATATATATATATATATATATATATATATATATTGTTTCTAATCATTAGCAATATAGAAAATTGAAAAATAAAGATTACACAAGTGTAAACATTGATTTAAAAAAATATATATAACATTTACTTATCAAGTAACTATGTGTAAATATTTTTATAGATATACATTTTAACCCTTACAACTATAGCAACAAAAGGCTCCTGAAACTGCTGATGAAGCATCTGTGTGTTAACATCAATTCCTGATAACCAACAACCATATCCTGGATGCGAGTGATACCAACCTATAGCATTTTCAAGACGTCCTACCTAAAAAATATTACCTATCTTTTACATATATATATATATATATATATATATATATATATATATATATATATATATATATATATATATATATATATATATATATATATATATATATATATATATATATATATATATATATATATATATATATATATATATATATATATATATATATATATATATATATATATATATATATATATATATTTATAGGGCTTAATATAACGGTCAGACATCGGACATTGTTGGCCTAAAACCTCAGATTATCTGCTCAATTTACAAAGTAATCAGACATTTTGACTAACAGGTATTAAATTCTACAAAATAAAGTTTGGACAGGAATGGTGTGCAATCGAATGCTATTGCTTTTTTTTGTTTACAAATTGACCATGACTGTTTAGATATTTTGAAACGTTTCAGAAATGCAGAGGAAAAAAATTGAAAAAACTAAAGAATAAGCAAAACAATTCCTTACAAAAAGAAAATAAATTAGCTTTAAAATAAAACTAAAAAAACTCAAAGTTAAAATATTATTGAAAAGAAAAGATATATAATATTTTTAATTTGTATAAACATTTTTTTCAAAAAGTTGCAAAATAAAATTGTTAAAAAAAAAAGATATCTTTTTAATATCATAATTTTTAATCATTTCATGATTCAATTAGTAAATCAAGTTTAAAAAAAAACAGAAAAAAAAAGTTTTCTACAGAAAAAAAAAAGAAAAAGCAATTAAATCATGGAAAGATTAAATTTAACTTATTCATAAGTGTAAGTAACTTAACCTGATATTGCACAATATTGCCAAATGGCAACATATCAGTCAAAAACAGATATCTTCTTTTATTTTAAAATAATTTTAGCTTTGTAGCAGTTTCTCTGATTTATCATTGCTTGTTTTTAAGTCCTTACAACTTGTGTTTGAATTTTAAACAACACTCTAAAGTTGAATAATTTTCATTTTAATTGTCCGTTTTTCAAAAAATTTTAAAAAAATGAGTGCAATATCGGATCAAAAAAATAATCTTTTAAAAGATTTTTAGAATGACATGGAAAAATAGTTTCAAACATTTTAATTTATCATAAAAAATACATATCTAATAAAATAATTTTAATATATATATATATATATATATATATATATATATATATATATATATATATATATATATATATATATATATGTATATATATATATCTATATATCTATTTATATATATATATATATATATATATATATATATATATATATATATATATATATATATATATATATATATATATACATATAGATTTATATATACATATAGATTTATATATACATATAGATTTATATATACATATAGATTTATATATACATATAGATTTATATATACATATAGATTTATATATACATATAGATTTATATATACATATAGAATTATATATAAATATAGAATTATATATAAATATGGAATTATATATATACTTATATTTACATATACATATAATGGGTGGCTACTAAAAATCCTGACTTACTATCAATGGCAATTACTCCCAGTTTTTAAGGTAGAGATTTAAAAAAAATATCATTAAATAGAGTTTTTAGTTATTTTAATTATTTTTGTCTTCAACCAGTCTGTTTCTTTGGATTTAGCCTAATCTAAGACTAGTTTACTTAAAAAAGTAAAAAGATAAGGTTAAAATCAATTTTTTTTAGACAAAGCTTTATTCTGGTTTGTAGTTGCTTCATGTTTTTTGCTTGCCAGTTACCCTCATACACTTTGCTTTTCAAAATAGCCCAAAAGATTGGGCAACACTCCGGTACGGCTGGCGGATTATCAACTTTTTTGACAAAATTGATGTTACAAGTCTCATAGCAGTTGGTCACGGTTTTGGCATATTGCGATGAGGCCAGGTCTTGCTAAAATATATAATTACCATTGACATTGAGCGCTAAAAGGTTCAAACGATTCTATAGATTTAAATAATTACAAATGGTATTAATTAAAGATAGAGACTTTCCAAAAAGGCTTGTAAAACCATCCTTTGAATTAAAGCTGTTTTATGTGCATATCTTATTTTATAATATAATTTAAGTGACTTAAGATAAACATCTTAAACCTTTCTTAAGTTATATCATAATGTTCGTGCTTCTTTTTACATAAGTTTCTTACTTAATAAATTTTGTTTCCACATTAAGTCTTGTGTTTTTGGAATAACTCATAGTTACTTTTAAAAGGATCAACTGCAAATAAAAAACTGTAAAAATAATGTGAACTGTAAAAAACAAATAAAAACTGTACTATCAACTGCATATAAAAAAACTCAAACTCATTTTCTTTGCAAACCAGTTTTCATATGAACTCTTAATTTAAAAATTTGAATAAGAGAATACTGACTGAGAAAAATATTACCTAATTTGGCAATCATAGATATTGCAAGAAAATAAGCAACAAACTATGGAGTTGACTTAGTACTGTTAATCAATCTACAGATGTAACAAAGGACTCCTTATGTGTCAATTCATATAAAAAGCACTAACAAGAACACTTTCCACATGCAACATTACACTATTAACATATATTTTGTTTATGGAATCAGTCTCTCTGAGACAGCCCACAGACTTAATCTAACTACCAATCTGTCTGTCTGAAGTTTGTAATTATTTGCCAACCTCAGAATTTCAAAACTTAATTTTATTTGTTAGTTCAAATAAATTAAAAACGGCAAAACAAACATTTTATTTTAATTCTAATTAAAATAATTAAATAAAAACAAAAACACAAAAGTTTTATTTAAATTCTTAATAAAATAATTAAAAACAAAGGTTTTACTTCAAATCTACATAAATTAGTTGAAATAAAAACAGAAAAAAAGAATTTATTTAATTATAAATTAAATTATTGAAATAAAAACAGCAAAACAAAAAAAAAGAAAAAAAAAAGCAACATTTTAATCTAGATAAAATAACTAAAATAAAAACAGCAAAACGAAGGTTGTATTTAAATTCTAAATACTAAATTAAAATTAGTAAATAAATTTTAAATTCTAAGCTGTTTTTTTTTATTAAAAATAAAAAACATGAAATTTTTTTATTATTTTTATATGGATTTTAAAGTAAAATAAGTATGAAATTTATTTGAGTATCAGGTTGAACTATTTTTGAACATTTTTTAAATAATATTTTAGACCCATGAATTTGAAGGACTTAAACATTACAATATTGGATATATTTTAAATCCTAACTAAATAATTGAATGAAAATAATTGAATAAAAATAATTGAGTTACCCACTAAGAAGGCATCAAAAAAATTTTTTTGAAAATGTTAGTTTATTTACAATAGATTTGAAAAAAATTAATTTTTTATTAAAAATCAATAATTTTGTTAAATTCTAAACATTCTGTTATTTTCTATGCTAATTATTATAAACAAAAATAAATTTATATAAAACCCATCATGTTACCTAACAGTATCTTGAGCAAGGTAAAAACAATTTTTAAATAATATCAAAGAGGCTAAAATTAGCTTTACCCAATTATATAGCATACCTCTCATACCTCACACATACCTCACAACATAAAACACCATATATTTTTAATTAAAAAATAAATTTTTCATTGGGCTCTTAAGTTTAAAAAAAAAATGTGGCCAACTTTAATAAAAACTACCTATATATTAACAAAATAACTACATCACAAATATTAAAAAAAGTCAAAAATACTTTGATCGATTTCTGCTTACATGTAAATGACAAAGCAGGAAAAAAATAACACACACCATTTTTGAAGACTCTACATATTGTGTCATGTATTCATAACCTTCTGCTTGTGCATTAACCCTAGTTTCGGTTCCTTCCACAGGAAGTGCAAATGAATCCATTACTATCATTGTATTTCCATCCACTTTACCAAGCATTAATCCCATTATTTCAATGTTTCCACCAGAACGAGCATGCATAACCTATACAAACATTATACAACAATAACTATGAAAACTTTTATAACTACACAATTAAGTTACTAAATAATAAATACTAACCATTTTTAATAGAGCTAATGCTGAGATTTTCACATGTTTAAAGTAGTGTGGGCTAAAAATTATATATATATATATATATATATATATATATATATATATATATATATATATATATATATATATATATATATATATATATATATATATATACATATATATATATATATATATATATACATTTAAAATTGTCACTTTAATTTTTCTAAAAAATATTTTTTTTTGAGGGTTTATAAATTTTTTTAGAAACAGATTTAATACTATATTTAAAAAATATAAAATTTTGCTTCTATTGAGACCCAAGTAAGACTATTTAAAAAAATAATAATAATATTAACACTTAGATCAATAATCAGTTTTCTATTGAAAAAGGGAACTGCGGGGGATCAGTACCTAGATCAAATGATATAGGGAGATTGTTGTTGGTCCACTAATCCCCATTCCTTCAGCAGTTCGTTAAACTCTAATTCTAGATAATATGACATGTATACATTCAACCAAATCTTTTTACTACCCAGTGTACAACAAACATAGATAAAGAAATTCTTTCAAAAAATGCTTTTAATTTCTTAATAGTTTCTTCCTAGTATTGTTTTCACAACTCTGTGGAAAGTCATATTATACCTTTTTCACAGAGTTATGCCATAAAACTGTGTACACTAAGTTATAAACAGGTATATTTTAACAACTTTATTATATTTACTAAATATAATATATATATTTACTAAATATAATATATTATTTACTAAATATAATATATATAATTACTCACTCTTTTGTCCAGGGTTTTTTATTTAGTATTTCTTGTTGTTGCTGATGACTGTACTTATAAATTTCATCAACGCTGTTTACAGATTCAATACTATTTTGCAATTCAAATGTTCGTTGAGCAATCTGTGAATCCATTTCTATTACTTTTTATATAATTTAAACTATATCACACACACACACACACACATATATATATAAATATATATATATATATATATATATATATATATATATATATATATACATATATATATAAATATATATATATATATATATATATATATATATATATATATACATATATATATATATATATATATATATATATATATATATATATATATATATATATATATATATATATATATAAAAATTATTGTTTATTTATAAATCAAAAGTTAAAAAGCAAGACATTTATAAAAAAAATAAAACTTTAGTTGTAAACTTTGATAAAGTGGGCACTATGTAATTCAGGACACTGAGTGTGTCCGGGTTAGCTTTAAAAGTGCGTCAAATTGATTTTTAAAAATTTTATTTGAGTTTGAATTGACTATGTTTGTTAGTAGCCCATTCCAATTGTTAACAGTACAATTAATAAAAAAATCCCATTCTTAGCAGGTTATTATAACTTGCGGTGTAAAAAATGTTAGAACCTTTATGTAATTTTGCACTTATTGAGAAGTAATTTTTTTTAAACTTTTTTGTAGTTGTTGATATAAGGGAACATTTTAATAATAAACTTTAAAAATAATTTTCATAATTTTTAATTAATTTTTTTCTTTACTACACATTAAGTGAAGCCTACCAACATAATCATAAATTAGGGTTTTAATAGTTACTCTAATAAAAAACAACATTTGTTTATTACAATTATAATTTGCTATTTAAAAAGTATAGTAAAGAAATTAAAAAACTAACCTTAATGTTGATTAACTTTCATTATTGGTTATCAACGTAAAAATTTTAACTAGGCTTCGCATTGCATGCTCAAATGTGAAAAATTGGAATCTGGGTGAACAACATTCACACTCTTAGCTTTAACAAAGTTTCTACTTAAGAGAGCACAGGAAAGAGAAAAGAGACAGAAACTGCTGTCTCATAAAAAAACTTAAAAATTACAAAAACATCTTCATACTTAATAACTTTAAAACTTTACAAAGCAACAATCCAATTAAACAATCCAAATAATTTAAAAATTCTTCAAAAACTTTTTCAAGTCTTAACTGTCTATATATTAAAACTTTTATCAATTATAGGAAACTTTTGGAAAAATTCTTTGAACAAAACAAGGCATTGATCAACACTTGAAGTGCAGCATGTTTCCCGAATGGAATGCATTGCAAGTTGAGGACCACCGATATCTATAGTACGAATTCCGATTCTTGCAGAAATAATAGGACCAATTGTTGTTCCACAAGTTGAATCATTTCGTACAACAACATCCTGCAATGGTACATTACAACTATTTGCAATTACTCTTAACAAACTTGCAGTTACAGCAGTAGTTGCATATCGTTGATTGGCATTAAACTTAACAACTGGTCCGCCATGAAAAGCAGGTCGGTGGTTCTTTTCATGTTTGTCAGCATAATTTGGGTGAACAGCATGAGCTTGATCAGCACTGATTAAAAATGAATTTGCAACTGATTGTTCAAAAGAACTGTTAAGATCAATACAAACACGCCTCATGATGTTTTCTGTAAGCATTGAACACGCACCTTGAGCACTTTCAGAACCCACCTCTTCATTATCATATAACGCTATCATGCGTATATTTGTTTCCTCTTGTAAATCATCTTCTATAGAATCAATCAGAGCTTGAAGAGAGCTGTAACAGTTGAACAAGTTGTCTAAACGAGGAGCAAAAATAAACTCATCATAAGCACCTCCAACAGTGGCTGGCTGAGTATCAGTAAGACAAAGATCAAAATCAAGAAGATTTTCTTGCTGACACTGCAATTCATTGCATAGCAAATTGACAAGAACAGAATGATGCTTGACTCCTACGCCAACAGACTTATTTAATTGATCATCAAAAGCTTTTGTAGCTATTATTGGTAATAAATGAACTTCTTTGTTTATACTGAAATTTTCATTCATTTCTCTTTGTAAATGAATACAAAGGTGAGGAATACGCAAAATAGGTTTTTTGATATGAACAAGTTGATGATTGATACTTGCAGCTTTTCCTGAATCTTTAACCAAAACTCTTCCTGCTAATGTTAAATCTCGATCGAACCAAGTACTCCATATGCCACCCCCATAACACTGAACCCCAACTGATAAATAACCACTTTCTTCTTTCTTTGAATTTGGTTTAACAACAAAGCATGGGCTGTCAGTGTGAGCTCCAATAATAGAGAAACCATTGCCACCATTAAACTGCTTTCCAACAGCAAATGCAATTACTGATGACTGATTACGTGTTACAAAATATTTTCCACCTTTATTAATCTTCCACTTATCTTTTTCGAAAATCTCTGAAAATCCAACTGATAAGAGTTTTTCCCTGCAGTTTTGGATTACATGATAAGGAGATGGTGAAGCATTTATAAAATCAATAAGAGCTTTTGCTGAGGCTAACACTTTATCTTGTTTTTGCATGTTATGAACTAAAATCTCTAATTATGAAAATTTGATATATATATATATATATATTATTATTATTATTATTATTATTATTATTATTATTATTATTATTATTATTTTTATTACTATTATTAATTATCAATAACTATAATACTAATGTAATATGATATATTATATAATATTAAAATAACATAAAATATTTTAATACTTTATATCTTTTTATGCCTTCAATTTGTTCAATATTTGATTTAAAAGCTTTATAAATTCATAAATACTGTTTATTATAAACATTAAAATTTAAACTAAATACATATAAATTTAAACTATTATTATAAACAATATTATATTGTTTATTATTTTTTCTTAAGACTAAAATTCTTATTCTGAACTCTGGATTCTTAAGATTTAAAAGTTTAATAAATTTATACGTATTGTTTATTATTTGTTTATAATACTAATATTATAATATTATTATATTGAATGTAATTATAATATTAGTATTATAAAAATACTTATAAATTTATTAAACTTTTAAATTTTAAGAATTGATTAAAATTTTAAATTTTAAGAGTTAACAAATTAGGGGTATAAAAGGAGATAAAAGAATAGTAAAAAATTAATATTGTTAAATACATCATTGAAATAGATACTTGCAACGTTTATGCCTCTCTTAACGTTTTGCTATTTTTGTTAACGCTAGTCCGCATACAATATAATGCGGGAGAAATATTTTTATTTTATAAAATTTTTGTCCCGTCTTGGCTAAGTTACAGGTAGACGGGCCCCAAAACCATTTGGTTTTTTCTTTTGTCATAACTTTTGTACAAAACAAACCATTTTATAATTTTTGCATATTTTTGACAAATTTGTTATATTAAATTTTACTTCATATAGTACTTTGAATAAAAACTTATATTTTAGGGAAGTACCTAAGGCGCTACAAAAACCAGATGGTTTGAATCCCAAAAACCACATGAATTATTTTAGTTTAATAAGAAAATCTAATTGAGGTTACAAAAAATCAAGGTTTCGAGTAGATTTAGAGTAGTTTTAACTAGCTTTTTGATGATAATGAATATATAAAGAGATTTTATTTTACACTTTTGCATCAGTGACGGATCCAGTATTTTTTGGTATTCGAGACTAACCTCTAGACATAGAGCAAACTCATTTGTATGTTTATACTAATGTCAAATAATGCTTTTCAAAAAATTGCAAAGCATTGCAATTTTTTCAATCATATGATTGAAGTCTGGAAACAACCCCTCCCCCATCCCCCCCCCCCCCCCACACACACACAAACACAAACACACACACACACACACACACACACACACACACACACATCGACCTCAAACGTAAGGGCAACAAGTTGATAAAATATTTTTTGTACTATTCTCAACAAGGCCTTTATATTTATTGATAAATTATAAGTTTCATAGTTTAATCTCTCAGCATTCAAAAAAGTGTGACCATATATAGTTTAAACCTTCCTCAGATTGGAGCGGTTACAAATTTTAGATGGTCATAATTTTTGAACGCTGAGAGATACTATGAAACTTAAAATTATCTATGAATATATAGGTCTAGTTGAGAATAGTACAAAAAATATTTTATTAACTTGTTGTCTTCACGTTTGGGGTGGAGGAGATAAAATTTTAGGGCTTTTTTGATCCCAGCCTCCAATCACCGCAATTTTTTGCAAAGCATCATTGTTTAAAATGAGTAAAAACATACAAATTATTTGAGTTTGAATCTCAAACACCAAAAAATGCTGGATCCGTCACTGTTTTCTTAGAGGGTAGGTTTAGTTTATTTTGTTGAATTTTGATAATATTTTAAGGCATACGAATAAGTATAAGTAACATTAACAAAAAAATCCATGTTCTAATGCTGAAGCACTTATAAAATGCAACATTAGAAAGAAAAAACAACTTGAAGTTGCTGTTTAATGGTGTAAAGAAAATAATGCTTCAACTAAAACAAGAAAATTCCGACTTATGAAAGATTGTGAAACAATAAACCGTAGACTTTATGGAAAACTAGTAAGTGGTCTTGAAGGCAGTATTGTACAATTGTCTTAGAGAAAGAAAAGATTTTAATTGTTTCATACATTAGAAATAAAAATCGGGCAAAGCAAGACATAAACAAAGTAGAACTAACAAAAGTTGTCTTTAATGTTCTGAAAGTTAGACAATACACAAATAAAGGTTGAGAGGTGGAAGAAAATTTGCAGCGTTATCAGCTAATTCAAAAAAATGCTTTGACAAAAAACAAGTATTTTTGTTTCTTTTTTTTTTAAAGATAGTTAAAGACAATATGGCAAAGTATAAAAAGATTGCATGGGTGGCAGGTTCCCATCTTTGTATGAATAAAAATGTTTTTGATTAAATCATAATATGCACATGTCTCATCTAAAATTGAACACAGTGCCACACTTTATTATTAGCTTATGTATTGATACTTTACATGTCTCATCTAAAATTGAACACAGTGCCACACTTTATTATTAGCTTATGTATTGATACTTTACATGTCTCATCTAAAATTGAACACAGTGCCACACTTTATTATTAGCTTATGTATTGATACTTTAATGAATATATTTTTTATTTCAAACTTTAATATACTTATTTACGTTTATATTAAGTTTATTTTTATTTATTTTACTTTACAAAATTATTGAAGCTTGTTTGAGAGGTTCTGACGACAATATATCATCTAATGAAAGAATAAAGTTTTTTAGTTTTTTCTAAAAATGGTGAAAAGACTTAGATAGAGCAAAATCAAGGTTATGCAAAATAATCTTATTCCAAAGGTGTCAGATAGGCAATACAAAATAAATTGAAATTCGTGTGACAAAAAGGTTCATTTAAATAATTAATATTTCTTAAAATGTATTTATTGATTGGTTTCAGAGTAAAAAGATCTTTAAAGACGGAGAGGAGTTAGTTATTTTTCTATATATAATCAAAACATAAAGCATTAAATACATTTTGCTAATATATATTTAAAATTCTCAATAAAATAATGTTTCGAATGAGAGAAGCAATCCACAAAATTTATTAAATGAATTGCGCGTTTATAACGGCGATAAAGCTGTTGCAACTTTTTCTGTACTTTCCCAGGCAATATTTGCATAATTTAAATAGCTGTGTATAAATGAATAATAAAGTTGGATTAAATTTTTCTTATTGAGGTAGATTCGCACTTTATATAAAATCCCTATGTTTTTAGAAACCTTAGAACATATGTAATCAATATAACGGTTATAAGTGATGTTTTCATCAAGATAATCACCTAAAAATTTAGTAATAGAATCTCTTTTCATTTCAATTTAATCAATAAAGATTTGAGGTTATTTTGATGGCGAAAACCGCTTTTTAAAAAGTGCTGTGTTTTTCTTAATATTGATGTGGATATTTGTTTCTGGTGTGCATTCTAATGCTTTAATGATAATCTGGTCCTTGTGTGGGTTGTTAGCAATGAGAAATTCTCACCAATAGGTTGACGAATTGGAGATCACGTAATCCAACTTAACGGTTCGTTTTATTTAGTACTTTTGAGCTATAACATATGATACTTGGACCGTGAACTGTATGAGTAGTATTGGATTAGCCAATACCAATTAATTCAGAAAAACGTTAGAAGGGTAAATACATTTGTAAAACGTTATGTGACTTTTTTACTGTTGTTATTAATTTATATTTCAGTGTGCTTTCTGATCTTTTTCTGCTGATCTGGCCCTTGTTTGCAATAAGGACTTTTCACCAACAGGTCACAAATCGGAGATGTTTTTAGTAATCCGACTGAACTACTCATGCCTATTATATTGACCTCTGCAAATTATCTCAGATTGATACTAGAAGGATGGATACATAGGGGAAAGCGAGGCAACATGGTAAATGAGGCAAGATAGGTTTTCATATAACAACTCAACAAAAAATCTTAAAGATGAGTGAAAACGAAACTGTATTTGCATCTTGTATTTTAAAATACCAATTGGTTTTTTTAAATATTATTAACGCAATTTTATACTCATAAGTAAACTTTTTGCGCTTAAAAAAAAATCCTCAGTTTTGGTTTCTCATAATGGATGGTGTCCTTCAAGTTTAACTTCTTTAGAAGTAGTTTTTTGCAACTTATGTTTATTTTGTGTTACTTTAGTTAGAGTTATTAGTAGTTTTTAAAATTTATAAATATCTTGACTTATTATATTTTAATATTTTTTAATTATTATATTATAATAGACTTATTATATTATAATATTTTTTCCGGTAAGTTCTCTAGTGCTTTTCTGTTGATCTTCTAAATTAAAGTTCACCCAATTAAAAAATTCTTTCTAATTTACGTCGACCAGTGAGACCAATGAGAGTTCCCGCTTTGTATATCTTTAATTTCGCAATACTCCACCACCCCCACCACCCTCCCTCCTTGATGATTACGACGTAATATTTTCTTTTGAAGGGGATATTTTTGGATTTTCTCTATCTTTTCAATTATATGCTCTTTAAACACTACATTGCCAATCAATCAATTTACACTCTTATCTTCAAATCAATTCATACTTTTTTTGACCAATAACATATAACTAAGGCTAAACTTCAATAATATTTTTTTTATTGAGGTTTAGCTGAAAGGATAATTTTTTTTTACAATGATTAACCGTAACTTCATACAACACCTGTGTGCATTTTTACAACTTACGTGTGCCTTATTAACTGCTCATTTAATACCTGTCTTCTTAGACTTTTTCGTGTCCACTATCAAATGATGGTAAGAATTTTATCTTAATTATCAGTTTATTGTACTTTAATTATGCTTTGCATATTTTTTTTTTACTTTATTATGCTTTGCATTGATGTTTGAATACTTAAAACTTTATTATAATGACAAATTTATAATTAACTTATATTCAAGCCATATCTTTTTTTTGTGCAGATATGTTACAGTATTTAGAATTGATGTAACAAAAAATGATTTATTTAAGATGGTTCTTTTAATATTACCTCTTGCGCAATATGTTCTGTTAAATTTTTTAA